CATTGACATGTGTGCCACCTATCAGTAAAACTTGCCACTGACTACTGCATGTAGTACCGCCACGCTAACATCTCTTTTTATACCTGTAAAATTAAAGTACTTGTTTGACTTGAACTCCCATCATTTTTATTTTATATATATATATATATATATATATATATATATATGTTTTTATTGCTCTGTGAAATAATGGAGCTTTGCTTGGTTGTCTGAACTGTTTGAGTTACATGATACACAGCACAGCTAACGGTGTTCCTTGTTTACCCTGATGAAGTTCATTCCCTTCTACTCTTAAATAAGACCAATTAACTGTTTCAGAAGAGAAAGACAGAGAAATCAGTAAGAAGTTCACTCAAGGCTAGCAGCATCATGATGTGTTCATTTGACTTACTTGAATAAGCAGAACTTTCAAGACCTGCAAATAAATATAAATTGGCCGCAGTTGATTGTAATATTCCACGTGTAATAATGTATCTATTTGTATGTATAGATTAGTGGGATAAAGATATCTCAACATTAATCACACTATTGCCAGAGAGTCATTATACTGATAAGGGTTTGCAGGGGCAGTAAGGCATGACACTGTATATTAAAACAGCAATAACATGAAAGTACTCAGCCATATTAAAGCTTCTCAGTCGCCTTTAATGCCCTATAATTAAAGATATGTTTTAGAGCTTGGTAGGTTTAAGCCTGAAGGCCGAATTCTGGCAGTGAGGCGTATTACAATGAAATACCACTGCTGCTTTCCATTCAGCTGACGGACACTTAGGATGCACAAGGAGTAAATAATAAGAACCATTCTAATGTTGTATATGAATGGGAGAACTAGATCTTGAGTTCTCGCAAAAATAAAACACTTAAAGGTTACCCATTCAAAATGGAAAATGAATCTTAGAAATGCATATAGGGAGCAGAGTCTATATGCTCTGTATATCAGTTTTTCATGCACATTTTTTCTTAGTGCACCATCCCTGCCCACTCAATCTATTGATCTGTGTATGCTGTACCTGATAGCTGGAAAAGGGGGCTAATATATATATATATATATATATATATATATATATATATATATATATATATATATATATATACAGTTAGGTCCATATATATTTGGACACAGGCACAATGTTAATTTTTTCAGGTATTTACCAAAACATACTCAAACTATAGTTATACAATGGATATGGACTGAAAATGCACAATGTACATTCAAATTGGAGGAAGGGTTTAGTAATTACAGCTTTTAAGAATAGCCATCCCCCTTTTTTCAAAGGACCAAAAGTAATTGGACAATTGAATATAATCATAAATAAAATGTTAATTTTTAATATTTTGATGAGAATCCTTTACTGGCAATGACTGCCTGAGGTCTGGAACCCATGGACATTACCAAAGACTGGGTTTCCTCCTTTCTGATGCTTTGCCAGGCTCTAACTGCAGCTGTCTTCCATTGTTCTTTATTTTTGGGTTTTTCTGCCTTTAGTTCTGCCTTCAGCAAGTGAAATGCATGCTCAATTGGGTTGAGATCAGGTGATTGACTCGGCCATTGCAGAATATTCCTCTTCTTTTCCTTCAAAAGCTCCTGGGTTGCTTTTGCAGTGTGTTTTGGATCATTGTCTATCTGTATTGTGAAGCACCGTCCAATCAACTTTGCTACATTTGGCTGAATCTGGGATGAAAGTGCATACCCTCAGGTTTAATTTAAGGGTATGTACATCCGAATTAGAGAAAGGGTTTAGGAATTACAGCTCTTAAGATTAGCCATCACCCCTTTTAAAGGGACCAAAAGTAATTGGACAATTGAATCAGTCCATATCCATTATATAACTATAGCTTGAATATGTTTTGGTAAATACCTTAAAAAAACAAAAATTTTGCCTGTGTCCAAATATATATGGACCTAACACTATATATATACAGTGGGGATCGAAAGTTTGGGCACCCCAGCTAAAAATTTGTATTAATGTGCATAAAGAAGCCAAGGAAAGATGGAAAAATCTCCAAAAGGCATCAAATTACAGATTAGACATTCTTATAATATGTCAACAAAAGTTAGATTGTATTTCCATCATTTACACTTTCAAAATAACAGAAAACAAAAAAATGGTGTCTGCAAAAGTTTGGGCACCCTGCAGAGTTAATATCTTGTACTGCCCCCTTTGGCAAGTATCACAGCTTGTAAACGCTTTTTGTAGCCAGCCAAGAGTCTTTCAATTCTTGTTTGAGGTATCTTTGCCCATTCTTCCTTACAAAAGTCTTCCAGTTCTTTGAGATTTCTGGGCTGTCTGTCACGCACTGCTCTTTTAAGGTCTATCCATAGATTTTCAATTATGTTGAGGTCAGGAGATTGTGAAGGCCATGGCAAAACCTTCAGTTTACGCCTCTTGATGTAATCCCCCGTGGATTTTGAGGTGTGTTTAGGATCATTATCCATTTGTAGAAGCCATCCTCTCTTTAACTTCAGCTTTTTCACAGATGGCATCAAGTTACCATCCAAAATGTGCTAAAATTTTATTGAATCCATTTTTCCTTCTACTCGTGAGATGTTCCCTGTGCCACTGGCTGCAACACAACCCCAAAGCATGATTGATCCAACCCCATGCTTAACAGTTGGACAGAGGTTCTTTTCATTAAATTCTGTGCCCATTCTTCTCCAAACGTACCTTTGCTCATTCCGGCCAAAAAGTTCAATTTTAACCTCATCGGTCCACAGAACTTGTTTCCAAAATGCATCAGGCTTGTCTATATGTTCATTTGCAAAGTTCAAACGATGATTTTTGTGGTGAGGACGTAGAAGAGGTTTTCTTCTGATGACTCTTCCATGAAGACCATATTTGTACAAGTATCTCTTTATAGTGGAATAGTGTACCACAACTCCAGTGTCTGCCAGATCTTTCTGGAGGGATCGTGCAGTCAAACATGGGTTTTGAATTGTTTTTCTCACAATCCTGCGAGCTGTTCTGTCTGATATTTTTCTTGGTCTTCCAGATCTTGCTTTAACTTCCACTGTTCCTGATGACTGCCATTTCTTAATTACGTTCCGAACAGAGGATGTTGACATCTGAAAACGCTTTGCTATCTTCTTATAGCCTTCTCCAGCTTTGTGAGTGTCAACTATTTTCAGTTTCAGTTTTCTAGACAACTGCTTAGAAGAACCCATGGTGCTGATTGTTGGGGCAAGGTCAGATGAGTCTGGGCATTTAAAACCTTTGAGATTGACATCACCTGGTCTTCCCAGACGATGATTGAGAACAATCCATGACTGGCAGGTCTCAGCTTTGCCAAGGGGGCAGTGCATGCTATAAATTCTGCAGGGTGCCCAAACTTTTGCAGACGCCATTTTTTTGTTTTCTGTTATTTTGAAAGTGTAAATGATGGAAATAAAATCTAACTTTTGTTGACACATTATAAGAATGTCTAATCTGTAATTTGATGCCTTTTGGAGATTTTTCTATCTTTCCTTGGCTTTTTTATGCACATTAATACAAATTTTTAGCTGGGGTGCCCAAACTTTCGATTCTCACTATATATATATATATATATATATATATATACATATACACACTACTGCAGTGGTGTATTTAGGTTTTGTGCTGCCCTAGGCAACACAAAAATTGTCCTCCCCCCCTCGCCTGACATTGACCAACAACACCCCTGCCCCCCCCCCACCCGGAGAGGAAACCACTCACCTTTACAACTCTGGACATCTCTGGGAACGAGAGTTGGGCTCTGCATACACCATCAAACAGTCCGCAGCCTCTTTCGGCTCCCCCCTGATCTCCATGTCGCAAGAGTCCCTTCTGCCAGGGGACAGTGCTGCCCCCCCTGAAAAATGCCGCCCTAGGCAACTTCCTTGTTGACCTTGTGGTAAATACACCCCTGCACTACTGTACAAAAGTTTTAGGCAGGTGTGAAAAAAAAGTTTGTAAATCAAGATTGCTTTCAGAAATAGAAGTGTTAATAGTTTTTTATTTTTTATTTTTAACAATTAACAAAATGGAAAATAAATGAACAGAAGAGAAATCCAAATCAAATCAATATTTTTTGTGACCACCCTTCAGCTTCAAAACAACAGCATAATTTCCTGTGGCTATACTTGCACACAGTTTTTGAAGGAACTCAGCACGTAGGTCATTCCAAAAATCTTAGAGAACTAACCAAAGATCTTCTGTGGATGTAGGCTGCCACAAATCCTTCTGCTTCTACATGTAATCCAAGAGAGGCTGAATGATCTTGAGATCAGAGCTCTGTGGGGGCCAAACCATCACTTCCAGGACTCCTTGTTCTTCTATATGCTGAAGATATTCTTAGTGACATTGGCTGCATGTTTGGAGTTGTTGTCTTGCTGCAGAATAAATTTGCTGCCAATCACTGGATGAGTATCTGCATGTACTTCTCAGCATTGAGGGCACCAATGATCCTGACCAAATCTCCAACTCCAATTGAAGAAATGTAGCCCCACGCTAGTAAGGAACTATGCCATGCTTCACTGTTGCCTGCAGACACTCATTATTGTACTGCTCTCCAACCTTTCAGCAAACAAACTGCCTCCTGCTACAGCCACATATTTAAAATTTTGACTCATCAGTCTAGAGCACCTGCTGCCATTTTTCTGCACCCTAGTTCCTATGTTTTTGTGCAGTTGAACTGCTTTGCCTTGTTTCAAAGTTGGAGGTATGGCTTTTTGGCCACATTTCCTTCATGAAGACCACTTCTGGCCAGACTTCTCTGAATAGTTACCTGGGTCCCACTAGTTTCTGCCAGTTCTGTGCTGAAGGCATTGGTGGACCTCTTCTGATGTTGAAGGGAAGCAATTATGTGTCTTTCATCTGCTGCATTAAAGAGTTACTAAATCCACAAAAGTAAAATCAGTCTGAATATGCAGTAAATCATGCTTGTTATACTCACTGTGGAACCTAAGGGGTTAATCCTCTGCATTGTGTAAAAAGATCAATTGATCCTCTTTTCTCTGCCCCTCCTCTTGTTCAAATGCCCACATCTTATCTCCTGATAAGACAGACTGAACCTGTAGCCACATGTACATGCTCAGTTTAGTGTGTATTGCTAGAGAGATAGTTTTTTTTCTTGAGAGAATGCATGTGACCAGTACAGGGCCAATTAGCACTAACCAGACAGAGGTCAGGGGTTTTGCATGCTCCTGGAGCAGAAAGAAAAACCCTCCTACAAGCTTTAACCAGTGCTCTGCTGAAGTCACACGACTGCTCTAACTGCTGATGAGAAAATGTATTTAGTAGTTTATATTTACTAACATAATTGCACTTCCATGTTCTGTGTACTGTGGGAGACCAGATATAGTGAATGCAGGGTCCTGGGTTTAGTAACATTTTAAGTGTCAGTGGCTGGCCACTGCGTCTAAAATCCTCAGCATTGCCGGTTTCTTTGTGCTTCTTCAAAACAGATTAAACAGCACATCTTAAACCCCAGTCTGCTTTGAAATCTTTGCCTGGGAGAGACCTTGCTGATGATGTATGACCTATGACAATAACAGTTTGGCTGTTCCTCATCCAGCTTTAAGACTCTTGAACAGCTGTGTTACAGTTAATGACTCAACATACATATAAAATTGATGAGCATTAGAACATGTATAGTACGGTTGGTTAATCATATACCTGACTATAATCCTACAAGATCCCTGACTTTGTGAAAATGTAAGAGTAATTGATGCCGGTTTAAAGCCAAAGGGTAGTTACACCAAATATTGATTTGATTTAGATTTTTCTTCTGTTCTGTGCTTTGCATTTTTTTAAATCAATAAAAATAAACATATCCTGCTCAAGAATAGATGCGGGAACACATTTAGGTGCCTGCAGCTTGAGTATTATATCCTTATTTCTTCAAACCTGCCTTAAACTTTTGCACATACAGAATATACACTATATTGCCAAAAATATTGGGACACTGCTCCAAATCATTGGATTCAGGTGTTCCAATCACCTCCATGGCCACAGGTGAAAAAATCAAGCTAGGCATGCAAACATTTGTGAAAGAATGGGTCGCTCTCAGGATGTCAGTCAATTCAAGTGTGGTACCGTGATAGGCTGCCACCTGTGCAATAAGTCCATCTGTGAATTTTCCTTGCTACTAATTATTCCACAATCTATTGTTAGTGGAAGCAACTGGGAACAACAGCAACTCCTTTTAACATGATAGAGCGGGGTTAGCACATGCTGAAGGGTACAATGTGCAGAAGTCGCCAACTGTTTGCAGAGTCAATAGCTAAAGACCTCCAAACTTCAACTGCAATGCAAAGCGTCAGATGCAGTGGTGTAAAGCAATCCACCACTGGACTCTAGAGCAGTGGAGACGTGTTCTCTGGAGTGACGAATCAAGCTTCTCTGTCTGGCAATCCACTGGACGTGTCTGGGTTTGACGGTTGCCAGGAAAATGGTACTTGCCTGACAACATTGTGCTAAGTGTAAAGTTTGGTGGAGAGGGCATTATAGTGTGGGCAGTTGTTTTTCAGGGGTTGGGCTTGGCCCCTTAGTTCCAATGAAGGGAGCTCTTAAGGCATCAGCATACCAAGACATTTTGGACAATTTCATGCTCCACTTTGTGGGAACAGTTTGGGGATGTCCCCTTCCTGTTCCAACATGACTGCACAGAGTCCTGACCTCAACCCGATAGAACACCTTTGGGATGAATTGGGCGGAGACTGCGAGCCAGGCCTTCTTGTCCAACATCAGTGCCTGTCCTCACAAATGCGCTTCTGGAAGAATGGTCAAATATTCCCATAGACACACTCCTAGACCTTGTGGACAGCCTTCCCAGAAGAATTGAAGTTGATATACCTGCAAAGGTTGTGTCCAACTCAATATTGAACCCTATGGACTAAGACTGGGATGTCATTAAAATTCATGTGTGTGTAAGGGCAGGTGTCACAATACTTTTGGCAATATAGTGTACATATATATATATATATATATATATATATATATATATATATATATACAGTTCATCTACTATTTACAGATGTTGTACAATGTATAATGTACTATTTTTCTCATAAGAAGCGCCATTGTAATGCAATGGTTTCATTATGAATTTGCTTGAAAATTTCTAGAGGGATACATGTTCCTTCAGATAATGTGTGTACCAACTGTATGCACCCAAAATGTATTTTGTCTGCTCTGTGGAAAATGTCAAACATTTTTTTTCCCTGCCTGAAGTAAATGTCACTTACATCCAGTATATTGGTAGACAAAAGTCTGGCCCACTGCAGACATCACTACTTAAGTTTTTAAGCAGTCGCGTCAATGACTATGTGGCCAAGAAACAATATGAGCTGGTTAACGGCAAGAGAATATACAGACAGTAGTTTAGGATACAGTTCTTACAGAAAAAATATATATTATATATACTGTTATTATTAAATGAAAACTTTAATGGTTCAGGTACTGCTCTAGTTTTTTTTATTGGAGTTGTATAGGTTGTATAATTTTCTGGGTTTGTACAGCTAACTGTTGTTTTATATATATATATATATATATATATATATATATATATATATATATATATACACACATACAGTACACATATAAAGCTTTTGTGTTTTACAAATAAACCTTTATCACAAGACACATTAGTCCTGAGAGCACTATGAGTTAGCTAAAGAGGCAGAATAACAAATGCTTTCTGCTTTGGACTGAAATGGGATTAGTCACTGGAATGATTCAGCTACTTGTGTTTGTAAATTTCAGCTTGAGCTATTGAATTATGTAGTCAGCTTGAGCAATGGAGTAATTTAGATTGTGCTTGTGAGTTCTTTTATCAAAAAAGGAAATGAAGAACCTGGAAACAGAGCATAAAGCTGGCTCAGAAGATCATTTTAATATGGAAAAAAAAAAAAATATATATATATAGATATAGATATAGATATACACACTCACAGGTTTTAGTCCACAGGTTTTAGTCCAGGCCACAATAAATAGTGAAGGCAATTGTCATTATTATGTACATAACACACTGTAAATTCCCTTTACCCATTAGCAATTTGTTTCCCATATTTTGCTGTTTTGCCTATACAGTACAGTACACAGCACTCTAAACAGTAAGCTTTAGTTTCTTGGCTTTAATTACATTTCTCTAATAATGTTCTTTACATACAGTATCTCCCCTGCTGTTATACTACTTGCTGTTAGGCATGTATCAACAAGCATCATATGTGATTTGGTAATTACGGATGCACATTTTTGGATCTATTTTGACAAGATTGTGCCAAATATCATTGCGTCAAAAGGTGTAATACAGGCAATGCATGCACACGAGTCTCTAATATATCTATATAATCTTCCTATTCTCTGTCCAGCATTATGGGGAAAAAATGAGCCAGATTAACATGTTTCTTTACAATACTGGAGAAAAGCGGCTTTTATTGTTCGCCAAGAGAACATTTTGCAGGCTGTTGATACACACACACAGTCTCCCATGAGTACAATATATTTCAAGAGGTTTTATCCTTGTAACAAATAAGAAATAAATAAAATAAGGGCTTACACTTTGGTCTGCAGTCTTCAGCTGTAAAGGGAATGACGGATATATGCTGCTCAGTAAGAGTCCATACCATAAATGGTAGGCACAAAATGAATTTTGGTGAGAAAAAAAGTAATTGAAAAAGGATTGATATTTTGGGAGTATAAATCCTAACTTTAGAGAATAAAATCAAAATATCTTCTCCTCTAGTTGTTGGATAGGTTCCAGATTTCTAGAAGGTCCTCCTTTCGGCTTTCATCAATAACCATTTTGGCATAATATGTTATTGGATGAAAATACCTTTCAGCAGCGCATCCAGAAATTCTGTGTTCAGAACGGATGTGTCAGTAAGTTAGAAATGACAACCTCAAATTGAATTTGGCTGTCAAAGCTGCACTGGAGAATAAAAATAATTTGAATGAAGTCTACATTTTTGTAAATAACTAATAATAATAAAGAACATATTTTCTCCTTCAAACCAATTTTTTAATTACTGTAAAAAATGGACTCAGTGTCTTTTTTTAATTTACTAAGAAAAGTGCAAATTGTACAGTTGAATTTTTACATGGGACAGGCAAGTTCTGCCTTTCATCAATATATTCATAACCAATAAACATATCTTTTCATAGCAAAAAACAGGTCAGATTTTAGACACTGGCCATATTTTTTAAACATCTTTTTACAAAAGAAACAATTTGTTGTCGGTTTTTTCTGAGACGTGACATAGCTATCATAACAGAATAACATGGGTATGGATTTCTGGCAATGGTTGTGATGCTACATAACCCAATGGGTTTTGAGTTGTCAGACTCTGACTGATGTTTTTATACTTTGATTTAGAATATTTCAAACAACTTGGAATTCATAGGTCCATCAGTGACTGGAAGCTGACCCCAAGGATACAGAGCAGAGCAGCCGAATGCAGATTTTGATGCAGAAACACACTTTAATGTAAAATTACCAAGAATATTGTTGTAGTGTAGTGGAATATCAAGTGGCTTTGCAAAACTTGAGAGGGGCAGCATTTTTTATAAGCAGTAGTTTCCTTTGCAGTAGGTCACCACTTTTGTTCAGTGTTTTCCTTAAGGCACATTCATGAACACAGATGATATCAAGTAGAAGCTATCTTTAGCGCTCATTCTAGGGTGTTTGTCACCTGCTTAAGTAATGCATAGCATGCCCTTGTGCTGATATTGGTTTAGGATTCCTTTTAACCACTTGCCCTCCAGAGGATTTATGCCCCCTTCCTGATCAGGCCATTTTTTTGCATTACATAAAAAAGGAGCCAGGACCTCCATTGGGGAACCCAAAAAGAAGAGGATCAGTGCTGCTCTTGCACAGAACAGGTAAGCATAACATGTTTATTATTTTTTTTTTTTTATTACAACCTTTAGAATCACTTGATTGGGGTATTGCCTATAACTCAGCTGTTATGATACCAACCACCCACTTCTAATACCACCCCCCACCTACCGTTAACATAATAATAAAAACACTTGACTTTGGAATTTAAACGGCCATAGCAGCCAGTTTATTTAAATAACATCAATAACAAAATACATACATCAATTTTCATCGTATGTAAAACCATAACAAAAAATACTGCAAATGATAGGTTTTTGAAGGCACGGAAAACTAGTACCCAGCTGTATCTGCCACCATCTTACAAATTAAGGCCCCCAGCTGCACATACACCGGTTCGGGGACAATTCCTTACTAAGTCACCATCCGATGCAGCCCCACCAATCCAAGAACCCATTCCTGCTGCACTTAGTAGGGAAGGTACACACATACCTAAGACCAACCCTTTTCTTTCCAAACTGTTTACCAT